GGGAAGCACTCACGACATGAGTGTTGTGCATATCATAGACCATGTTGGGCCAACTCTAATCGAGACGTATCATACTGTGAGGCCCGGAACATGAGCAACCAGTATGATGTATTGCATAATGTTATGGGGTTTTGTTTATTTATTTATTTATTAAGAGGGGGGGCTGCATGCACTATTCCCGGTAGGCGAGGGGCATGCCAGACTATAAGCTTGGGCGACCTGTACGATGCCGTATACTCAGGCAATCAACTTCCGTCATCCACAGTCCAGCTCCGCTCTTTATTATTTTACCTGACAAAAAAAGTATACTTCTTACAGCGGCACATCACTCTATTTAATCCAGCACTCGGAAAATATTCATCGTGGGATTAGGCCGTGTAAACCCACTTAACTTGGACTCCCCTCATCTTGTTCCTACCAATGAATGCCTCACCATCATTACAGAGCTAGGGATACGGCAGTTACAACCCTCGCAACGCTAGTTTAGATAGTTGGGTACTCCCAAAGCTGTCATTATTTGAGGTATCATACATTCACAAACCTAAACTCCGAGGCACCTATCCGGTTCATTCATCCCATTTGTTTGTTTACTTTTCGGAATAGATGAATAGTGGGTGAAATCATGAAATATCACTCATGCTGTTTTCTCCGCCTTCCCTGTTGAAAACGGGATTTAAAATTAAACCGGGGGTTGTACTGAATTGAGAGAAAAATGTCTCAAAGGGCAATTAATCGTTCGATGAGGCGAGAGGAGATCAGAGGTAAAAGTACAGAAAAGAGGAGGATATAGAGAGAGAAGGATTCCAGTGCTAGTGCGTGGAGCTAACATGTCCTGCTACGAATGTGCTTTCATGGATATGATACCTCCACAATTCCCTTTCCATTACCTTCAATTTCTGCTCCTACCCCTGAGAACCTCTGACTCACCCTTTGCGACCCCCTCAGTCTGAACCAAAGACGACCATTCCGAGATATGGCAGCCCCGGACGGACCCGTAGGGAAAGCCGCCTCCCACCAGGAGGGGCCCTTGTCACGACGGCAAGGTCCCGTGGGGTCCCCGGAATTAATTGGAGACGCCGGGAAACCTTGGCAGAATTATCTAAAAGGTGATGCAGAACGGGGAGAAGAAAGTAAGACAGTGAAGAGCAAATACACAGACAGCCATCTCCGACCGCGAGGAAGAAATACGAAAGAATCTTCGGGAATGAGCTCCACATCCCCTGGGCTTGGGTGCCATTGGGCTACAGGGGCAAGATCAACTACAAGTAATGAAAGTTGTTCTGGTTTCCTCGAGGCTCAGATTCTTGTTGTGTGTGGTGCATTTTTGTCCTTTCTAAAAAGCCACATGCTGTCTCTAACATCCGGTGATGTCGTGGTCCTATGCTCAAAACTTGATATTACTCTCCTTTTCTTGCTTGCTTGGAGCAGACCCTACCGCCCGTCAAAAATGCGACAACTGTATGATAGCGGGCAGGCCATCATGTTCAGGGTCCTCAGCAAGTGGACACTCAGACCTATGGGTGTCTACCACCACTACTCACTTCGGGTCCCTTTGCGCAGGGCGATAAGGACTACTCCGGTGAGTTACAAGTGTTAATAACTAATAAACTGCTCTAACCTAGCGGCCTAGTGGCTCAACGCCACAAATAATGATAGCAACTCCAGGGGCAACCCCTCCACCAAAAGCGCTGATGGTCCAACCAATCCTGCAGCCGCCTTTCAGTTTGGTGGTTTTTCTTCGTTGGTTACCTTGGAGCGCTTTGGGCGGTTTGGGATGGTGAGCTTTGAAATCGCCTTCGGATAGAAAAATCCTGCTGATATCTAGTTAGACCGTTTCTGTGCTGAATAGGCCGTACTCGAGTATATTATGCTACTGTAGGTGGTCTCATTACTATTATCTTGGGGGGTGGCTTGGATGGCTACTTGAACAGGAATATGAATAGTAGATGCTCGAATGCTACTCGAGTACAAGGAACGAGTAAACTCGCGGCGGGGGCTATGTCGGTTCGTGTGTAATGTCGGGAAGAGACATACACAGTGTGTGTAGGAACAAGAATTAATATTTGACGTCACTCTGGGTATTCGAGTCCGTACCGAGTACTGAAGTGTACCTCTACTGCGTATCTACGTTCCCGACATAACCGCCGAACCGACATAGCCCTGCCGCGAGTTTAAGTATGAATTCCATCCATTTTAAGATATTGATGACTCAGATATACCGGAGTTTCTAGACCTGGTCGGATTCCACCGATTGTTATGAAGTAAGACTTTTCTCCTATCGGGTGGCGCTAGCGGTGGGGTTGCTTTTTTCCTCTCGGGATGGCCCGCTTACGGCGAAGCAATGAGCGCTCACTTTAATTAATTTACTTTTGCTTGTCTTTTGCCACTCCATGTTTTTCCACAAAAAAAGTAAAAACTGCCCTAGCACGTATTAGTTGGTACTGTACGAGAGTGGCCAATAGATATATTCGTCATGTGATAAGCTGGTGTAGAGCGGCAAGTTGGCAACCAGGAGGATCATGATTTTGATAACTTCATCGGGAGAGCAGCTCCTACCATCACCAAGTTGAAACCCTCTTTCCATACCATCAAGTTTAGTGACCAGAATATTTCAACCACCTATTACTTTTGATTCTCTATAAGAAATCATGGGCCATACCTATGGAGTAAGCGAGATCTCACTAGAATTGTTTTATGCAATTCTGACTCTGTAACTCATTATAGACAAAACTTGGAACGAAATATCCAATTGTCTGCAGGTTCATCCAGACTCTGCTCGGCAAATTTGTGTGAAAGCAAAGGTAATGTTATATCATAATTGAAATACTGATTTACAATAAGAATATCTTTTATACTAACCTGGTCAAATCAAAATAGGATTGTACGAGTAATCCAAATGATTTTTGTGATTTGTATGCGGTTTTTAAAGGTTTAAACCACCCCAGATATGCTGAAGTGATGCCTGAAGGCTCTGAAAAATCAC